CCCCTTAGTTAGTGCAAGGGTGCCAAGGATGACCCGCGGTCCACATGCAAATATTTCTGGCCACTTGTTCCGGAAATTCTTTTTTACTTCTACTAATGTTGTGGCCCCACCCCATAACAAAGAAACAGAATTTCTGGAGGATGAGGCCCAGAAATCAGGATTTTAAAAAGATTCCCAGGTGATTCTAATGTGCAGCCAAGGTTGAGAACCACTGCCTTAGATACTTTTGGATCAGAAGATGGGTGGGGGGTAGCCAAATAAATAATGCAGATAGATAATTTCTTAGTCCGTTTTAATCAAGAAGAAAAAGCACACAAATTCATCAGAGAAAGCAAAGCCATTTCATGTTATTTTATAGAGTTTGTTCATTTTATAGCGTTTTGCTTTAGCATAAAACATTTTCATTGCCAAAGAAGTTTGAATTTCACTGACTCAGGTGATTGCAAATCCTCCAGGCAACCCTTCACAGATAACGCTTCCCTCAGCTCAGCTTTGGGTAAAAGTTAGCAGAGTTTTACAATTAGGCCAATGATGAGAGCCTAGCGTGCAGACTCTGTGTGGATATTTGAATCGATTTAAGGCTAATCTATTTTTGTTAGTGATCAAACCAGGGAATGGAAAGTTGTTTCCTCTTTTGGAAATTAGGGAGCCTAGCCAACACTCAGATGTGCTGAGGGGGAAAAGTTGATTCTAGGGAAGCATATTGCTTTACTGGGAGGAACAGTATACTAATTTTAGGATCAACACAAAATGGTCAAGGTGGTTTTAAACAATGAAGCCCAAGACACTGAGCCCTGGCTTTGAGAAGTTGCAGTTTTAGTGATTTATTTCCCCATTTCTAGTCCCAGGAGGAAAATGACTTCCCGTGTCACTTTTGAGACTTATTTAATAATGTGTTTGAATTTTTGGCAGGTGACAGTAAGGAATGTTGACTATCAACATACTAAAATTCAGTATTTGGAGCAGTGTTTTATTTGGGGGCACACAGATAATGAGAAATGTTATTTTATTGCTCCTTATGGCATTAATAGGTTTTTTGTTTGCACTATAAAAGTACAGCATTTCTGTGCCTGTGTTACGAAATTTTACAGTCCTTCGATAATTAGTTTTATGTTTTTAATTAGGTTAAACTATATAAAATTGCCATTTTTGTAGGTCAAAAAATGGCCAATATTGGCAATTTTGCATGATTCAGCCAAATAATATTTAAAAAGATGTTTTGTTGTAAATCTGAAATGATTGGTCTGTGGACCTAGAGAGTAGTTTACTAGTTTCATTTTCTGTCTTGAAACAGAAAAAATGCCCGTCTTGAAGGCCGAAGCGTCGCATTACAACTCCGACTTGCACAACCTGCTGTTCTGCTGCCAGTGTGTGGACGTGGTGTTTTACAACCCAGACCTAAAGGAGGTGGTGGAGGCCCACAAGATCGTCCTCTGCGCCGTGAGCCACGTGTTCATGCTGCTTTTCAATGTGAAGAGTCCTGCTGACATCCAGGATTCCAGTATCATCCGCACGGCCCAGGATCTCTTTGCTATCAACCGGGAGGCTGTGTGTCCAGGTGCTAGCCAGGATTCTCCAGGCAACCCACCACTCCGAGTCATCGTTAAAGACGCCCTCTTCTGTTCGTGTTTGTCGGACATTCTGCGCTTCATTTATTCAGGTATCTTGTCCAGTGGTTCTGGTACGTTCTCTTAGGCTATTGAAATGAAGTATGCCAGTGGTCCTCAAGAGTTTTCACATTTTATCGTCTTCCTGTCACCTGGAGTGGAGATTATACATGAAATAGTATTGGCTTTATGCACATGAATTGTTTCAGGCTTTCCATCTTCCTTACTAGTTTGTTTGGCCTGGTTTTACATCCTCTTGTATAAAAAATAATCTCTTTTCATACTAAGCAAGAAATACCTCGTGTGAAAGTACAAGAAGTTATTGTCCAGTTTAACTTTAAAGAAATAAAATTGTCCAGGTGTTTGTCAAAATAAGTGTCTGCATTTTAAAACCTAGCCATATGTTCCCCTTTCTGTTTGACACTTAGATTTGGGAAGGGAGTGAGGAGAGAAATTAGCAGGGTCATTGCATTCTGTTTAGGAACTGGAAATAACACTATCAGGTAGTTTAAACTGAGATCTGATCAACTTTGGCTATGACTATCTTATTTTTTATTTATTTATTTTTAAAATATATTTTATTGATTTTTTTACAGAGAGGAAGGGAGAGGGATAGAGAGTCAGAAACATTGATGAGAGAGAAACATTGACCAGCTGCCTCCTGCACACCCCCCACTGGGGATGTGCCCGCAACCAAGGTACATGCCCTTGACCGGAATCGAACCTGGGACCTTTCAGTCCGCAGGCCGACGCTCTATCCACTGAGCCAAACTGGTTATGGCTGGCTATGACTATTTTAGACTTTTTTTTTCTTACTGTGCTCTTACTCTTTTAGGACTCAGCTTATTCATTATTTTTCTCCTTATCCTTTTAAAAACCCAGTAGCAATTATATTTTAAAGAATAGAAGTTTTGCCACAGTCATTTTAGCAACTGAATTGAAGGTCTCACACCTAAGTGTCCCATATGGGAATGGAAAAGAATGAATGTAAAATGACTTTTAAAGCATCTAAATATATGTATTCTGAGGACTTCTTTCTTCTTTAATTTTTTTCCCCAGTTAGAATCATATGCTGATGAAATATTGGGTTAAGGTCACTCCTTCTCTCAAATGTGTCTGGAGAAACATTTATAGTCCATTTTTAGACATCAGAATTGGGGACAGATAAGAAGTTTATAAGTCTATAGAGAAGGATCGTTTCCTATAGGTAAGAAAGTTTTGAGTAGCCTTCAGTTGAAATAATTGATGCTAAAAATAAGATTTTACTTTTTTCATTGTGGCTATCTATATATATAAAAGCCTAAGCGACCATCGCAACCAAACGGACGACCGAACAGGCTGCGTGGGGTGAGTAGGCCAGCAGGGGGGTTAGTGAGGGACGACCAAACAACTGAACAGCAGGCTGTGTGAGGTGACCAGGCCAGCAGGGGGGATTGCTGAGGGGCGACCAAACGACCGAGCAGCAGGCTATGTGGGGCAAGCAGGCCTGCAGGGGGGACAGTTGGGGGTGACCAGGCCAGCAGGGGGGGCAGTTAGGGGCAATCAGGCAGGCAGGCAGGTGAGCAGTTAGGAGCCAGTGGTCCCGTATTGTGAGAGGGATGTCTGACTGCCAATTTAGGCCCGATCAGGCCTAAACCGGCAGTCAGACATCCCCCAAGGGGTCCCGGAATGGAGAGGGTGCAGGCTGGGTTGAGTGGACAAACCCCCCCCACCCCCCGCACAAATTTCGTGCACCGGGCCTCTAGTAGTTATATAATTTTCAATTAAAAATTAATGGTTATGGCCCTGGCCTGTATAGATCAGTGGTTAGAGCATCAGTCTGGGTACCGAAGGGTTTCAGGTATGATTCCTGGTCAAGGGCACGTTCCTGGGTTGCGGGTTTGCGCCCTGCCCCTAGTCGGGGTGTGTGTGTGCAGGAAGCAACCAGTTGATGTGTCTCTCTCACATCAGTGTTTCTCTCTCTCTTTCCCTCTCCCTTTCTCTCTCCCTCCCTCTTCTCTCCCTCCCCTCTCTCCTTCTCTTCTTCTCTCCCTAACTCTCACTCTCTCTGAAAAAGCAATGGAAAAAAATATCCTCAGGTGAAGATTAACAAAAATAAATGAATGAATGAATGAATGAATGAATAAATAAATGGTTGTGAAAAGTACTTGCAGCACGCAGATTTTAGTGGGTTAAAAATATATATGTATTGGAGTAGAATGTGGCGGTAGGTGTTAAATTCATTGTTCAGTGAATATTGACTTGGAAAAGGCATAAATAGTCACTCCGACAGGGCACACTAGCATGGTGCCTTTAGCAGGTTCTCTCATGGTGGCAGGTTCTCTGCTAGTGTTGGTGAAACTAATGAGTAGGCTCCAGTAGCGGGGAATCATATGATTAAACCAGACTAAAGACTTCATTTAGTTCTACAGATTTTTATGTTTAAACCTAGAATCTCACAATGCATAATTTAAGACTAACTGTATAAGAACAAAATGTTTACATGTTAAAAAAAAATTACTTTAATAATATATTTAGAAAACTATGAAGGAAGTGTTGACTGTCCCTTTCAATGATGTTACTGTTGTAATTATGAATTATTCAGCAGGTTTCCCACACACTGCATACTTTTGAAGGCACATGAACACTTTGAGGTCAGTTATATCCTGTAATATCGTAGCAGTAAAATTGCTAGCTGTCTCTCCAGTGGCAGACCTGCTTGTCTTCTCCTAGGGAGTGATTTTTTTAAATTGCAAAATTAATACATGCAGATAGGAAAGGGGTGGGAGGTGGGGGGAGAAAGGAAAAAGAAAAGTACTCCTCATCCCCCAGTTCCTTCCCCAGAGTCAGTGACCTATTACCGGTTTTTCACATGTTCACCCTAATGCAGTTTGAAAGAAATTACATATTGGGAGATTTGCATTAATGAAAATGTAATCTTTGGTAACTGCTGTTTTCCAGGAACCACGGGCAGTTCCCCGTGGCTGGAGCCAGAGTGGGAGGTGATGGCTGGAAGGAAATGAGGCTGGTCAGGCTGGTGTTTGCCGTTCTTACAAGCGGTTCTGGAGTTTTAGCATGATCAGACTGGGCTTTAGAAAACTCATCTCTGGTGATGGAGGGAGGAGTGAATAGAGCAGACAAGACAGGAGTCCAATCCCGAGGCCCCCTCACTCGCGATCCACCTCCAGAAGGCCAACATTCTGACAACGGGGGGTTGGGGTTGCGGTTTGTCCATCATCTGGGCCAGTGCTTTTCAAACCTTCAAGTGCAAACAAGATCTTGATAATGTTCAGGTTGTGACTCAGTAGACCCGGGGTGGGTACGAGAGTCTGCATTCCCAAGTCTCCCGGTGGTGACTGACCACAGTGGTTGCAACACCTCTTGGAAGAACTGGGTACCAGCCGGAACCAGGGGATAAGGACCAAGAATTCACCCCAGAGACCTGGGAGAGGAGCCCAGTTCTCCCTTTTAGTGCCAAAATCAAAACGGGGTCGGCTGCAAGGCTGACTGCTGCAGAACTCTTTGGAGGTGGGGCCCTCAGTGCCTTGGTATAGTCCCTTCCTGAAGCTGGGGCGAGTGGATGCTTAGCGGTTGTGTGGAAACTAAGTGAGCCTGGGAACAGCGAGGAGAGGGCCTCGGGCCATGGGCCAGGAGAGCTTGCTGGTCTGCAGGCCCTTGACCAGTTCAGTGCCCTGGCTTCTTAGTCTGACACTGAGCTGTTGCATTTCTGCTCTGATCTCTCCTGTACGTCACGGCCCAGCAAGAGGTGGTGTCAGGTCTGAGCGGGGCCACAGGCCATTGACCTGGGGCTGTAGGGAGACCCTGATGCTTCAGAAGGTACCTGTGCCTTATTCTCCAATTATTTACAAAGTGTAACCTCAGACTCAAGCAAAAGTTATATTATCTGAGTTGTGTTTTAACAGATATTAAGGCTGTATTTCCATAGTAAAGACAATTTTTTAAAAATGCAGAAAATTTACTGAGAAAAAAAATCAACCAGATTCCCACTATCAGATGCCTAGACATTTATTAATGTTTTGTTTTGACTTGGTTACTGTTTTATCTTACTATATTTTTCTATCAAATCAAACAAAAAATTTAAACCTACTTTTTTTTTTCTAGAGACTTCGGTAAGGAGGCCAGGTTCGTGAGCTGTAGGTTTTTTTTTTCTGTTTTTTTTTCTTGTGTGTTAAACATTTAAAAATTTTTGAACAGAGCACAGGTTCTAAGACCCAGTTATGTAATGGTTTCCTCACGGAAGCCTACCCACAGTTATGTTAGTAGGAGCTGTCTGTACTCACGTTAGCTGGGTTGGCAAAGCAGAGGTAGAAGTCCATGGCGTGGCACACTCGGGAATATTTGCCCTGAGCAAACGTGGCTGAAAACCCATATAAAATCTCCCTCCTAGCTTTATTTTTAATGAACCAAATTACAAAGACTGTCTTAATTTTAAAAAAATAACCCCGCTTTTTTATCTTTAGGAATTCAAAATGTTGTATATAGAACAATTGAGTTCTATATTTAGGAAGGGCCTGTGTAATAGTCGGGTTAACACATTACATCTATGAGGTTTCAGTTTATTTTTCTATTCAAATTTCTGAGTAGATGCCGTAAAAGTATGTGTGTTCTGTAGATGTTAATTGTCCATTGGACAACAGCTAACACTGCATGACGTGTAAGTACTTACTAACACTAAAAAAGGAGTGATCTGAACAGCGAGGGCAGCAGTTTCCTGGTCTTCATGGAGCACTCCTTAAATGGCATACAACTGTAACATTCTTACAGTTTGACTGTACCCTGCGATACAGTCTTTATGCTTGCAAATTCCTGAGTCACTCGATCTCTGATGGCTATGAATTGAAATATTTGTAAGAGCCTCAAGAATTTAGCTTTGAACTCTTCCTGCCACAGTTGGCCCTCAGAATTTCACATCACTTATTGAGATGCCGTCAGGGTAAATGAATGTGTGGAAGCACATTTTCCTCTTCAGTTTGCATAGTATTCTTCAGCGCTTGGAATTATTCTGCGGCACGCTCTTTTCTGCACTGCATAAAAACGCAGCTTCAGACACACAGGTAATACCGTGCTCTCTACGAGTCTAAGTAAAGTAAATAAATGCTCTGAGAAGTTAAGTAAAGAAAATTCCAGCCAGTTATGCAAGACAAGTAAGTTCCAGAGATCTGTGCATACAACATCATGTCCATTGTTAACAAGATTGTATTGAACACTTAAAATTCTGGGAAGGGGAGAGAGTTCATGTTAAATAGTTTTACCAAAGTAAAAAAAACCAACAACAACAAAAAAACAAATCCCAGTCTAAAGATTATTGCTTTATTAGGACCTTAAAGTGTCAAAGATGATTAGTTAGCATTTCTAATTATTAAAAGAGTGCCCTTATGAACTGGTCTTCGTTCTGGTGTAGGTTATTGGATCTTTCTGTGTCTGTTCTTAAACAGACCCATGGCCTCTGGGGACTTACCTGTCACTGATCCCATCTATTTAGATTTGACGATTGCTTTCTTTCACATGATCTTCTGACTAGAGATGTTGTGTAGGTGTTCTTTAGTTAATATAATTTTACTTTTAAGAGACAATGTCTGTGCTCTCCTTTAATAGCATGAGTATAAACAATCACAAGTTCCTGCACTTACTCTTTGCTGCATACCACTAACCCTGGGTTTTGGTAATGGGTGAAATGTCTAAGGGAAGAACACATTAGATTAAACGGGGAAGCTTTTAAAATCAATGTCTGGGACCCAGCACCAGAAATTTTAATTCAGTTGGTCTGAGGCTGAGACCTTCTACAATAGTATTTTATAAATGATCTGTTTTATAAAAGACACATGATTGGTTGCCTCCCACATGCGCCCCTACTAGGAACTGGGGAACCTGCAACCGAGATACGTGCCCTTGACCAGGAATCAAACCTGGGAGCCTTCGGGCCATGCTGACACTCTAACCAATGAGCAAAACTGACCAGGGGTTTGTAAATGTAATGCATAGAAAGACTTGAGAATCACTGGCATAGAATAAATTTTATTGGGCTGGCATCCCTTGGCTTCTTCTACTTCTGACATTTTATATAGACTTGAATGTCTATCTGTGCATGTGCAATTTCTGGAGACAATGCAAAGAATTTATCAGATTGTGAAAAGAGTATGTGTGACCTTGAAGTTAAAAATCATTAGTGCAGGAAGAGGAAAACAAAAACTATAGATTGGTTCTGGACTGCACACCTTTGGGAATTTGCGGTGGAAGGGGAGCTAACAGTGAAGTCAGAAAAATAGCAATTTAAGGCAGGAAGTAGCATGGTGTGCTGGCCAGCTGGCACCGGCGTGTGAGAACCGATTGTGTTTATTCATAATTCTGTGTTCTAGGTGTCACATTGGTAGCTGGAATATGGCGTTGGTGAGAGTATTTTCACCACAGAAACAGCACACACCTCAAATCAGGGCTACGCTTCCCCTGCCCCATCCCACCAAGGTACACTGTAGTCATCATAAAGGTCAGGGGAGGAGAAGTTTAAAGATACGCTAGAGTACCAAGTGCTGCAGGGCTCTGCTGTCCGAGGCCCGAGAGTGGCCGGACTCTCAATCTGGCTCTTCAGATTAGCTTTGGATCTCGTTGGGACACACTGGCTGCAATTGCCTGACCTCATGGTTCTATACACGTTTGTCATGTGCCCTCCACGGTCCCCAATATCTATGAAGGCACCTGGCAAAGTTCTGGATACATAAAGGGAACTGTCGGAAGAGATAGATTGAGAGCATATAGAATAGGACCCCGAAGCCACACCAGTAATTAATGGCAGAGATAGAACTAGAAACTGGGTCCCCCAACTATGCCAACTCCCACACCACTTCTTTTTAAATTCCATTTTTAGGAGGTAGGACTTCCTATAAACCATGGAGTGGATGAGGATAATCTCCCAGAATATCATGGTCAGAATTGAAACATCAGCATTGAATCATGGGACAGATCGGATGGGAAAGGCCACTAGGGATCAGGGAGGCTAGGCTGCTCTAGGCCAAGTGAGAAGAGTGCTTGGGGACAAGATGAACTTACGCTGACCATACAGTAGGAATTTCTCAAAACATTGAGGTGCAAGGGCTGACAGAGTGTGAGAAAGAATGGAAATGAGTCCAGGAAGAGAGAACTTGGAAGAGAACTGAGGACGGAGGAGTGAGGGACCAGGTAGGGTGATTTTGCTCCAATGCCATGGTCCTGTGGCTCCTCAGAAATTTATCTAGCTCCCCCTCTTCTGGTTGGTCTGTAGAGGTGGCTGTGGAACATATCTTAATGTGACCCTGACATGCATGAGACCTGAGTGCATTCTGCCTGTTCCTCTGCCTGGTGACAGTCACTGCTCTCCATGATCCTATGAGTTATTCAACCTTAGGAAAGACCAGGCCTGCCTCCTTGCCCAGGGCAAGTAAATAATTTGGGTTTTGCCCTAGCCGGTTTGGCTCACTGGATAGAGCGTCGGCCTGCAGACTGAAAGGTCCCAGGTTCGATTCTGGTCAAGGGCATGTACCTTGGTTGTAGGCACATCCCCAGTAGGGGGTGTGCAGGAGGCAGCTGATCGATGCTTCTCTCTCATCGATGTTTCTAACTCTCTATCCCTCTCCCTTCCTCTCTGTAAAAAATCAATAAAATATATTAAAAAAAAATAATTTGGGTGTTGGACCACTGGTGATGGTAACTCATCTTCTGGCCATTGCTGCTATCGCCAGCTGACCACCGACTACAGAAATGTGGCAGCTTGCCGAGGAGGAAGACTAGGTTTTGAATAACTAAGGGAAGGCAAACTGATGTTTTTTAAAATGTGAGTTGTTTCAATGTCTTGGTGTAACTACGAGGATATATATTTGGTAAAGGAAAAGTAGAATACTAAAAAAGAGGGAACATTGATACCTAATAAGATATTTATTTTTCTTCCCGCTTTAACAGAAAAAGTCAATATGCATGTTTATTTGTTACAGGTGCTTTCCAATGGGAAGAATTGGAAGAAGATATCAGGAAGAAGTTGAAGGATTCTGGGGATGTTTCAAATGTAATTGAGAAAGTTAAATGCATTTTAAAAACACCGGGAAAGGTAAGTTCGTTTTTTGTAAGTTTATTTTTACTTTCTCTGAATTGTAAGTGATATACTATAATGAACATGATACTGAGTCATGAAAAGACTAATAATTTACGAATGTTTTCCTTAAGTATATTTTGCCTTATAAGTATTTTAAATGTAAACATATTATTTCTCACCGTCTCACATTTTAATTCATGTAAGAATTAAAATATGTGCAAGTCATTTCTTGAAAATGCTGACTTGTGGATTCCATCCTCTGAAACATTCCCCTGATGCTCCGGAATGTTCAGGAACAAGGCCGTTTCTGTGTGGGCCTTTCTCAAGAGTTCTGAGAAATCTCTTTGAGCAAGTGAACAGTTAAAGGTTTATTTTTCATCTAATACAGGTTCAAAAGTATAAGTTAGATTCAAAGGTTATAAAAATGCAGACTTTCTGTACGGCCAGATGCTGTGCATGTTCAACCTCTAGTCATCCAGACTGTGCAGAGTCTGCAAGGCGTTAAAAGTAAATTTGTTATATTTTAGAACAACTGCGTTACACAATTTAGCCGGTGTATTCTTATTTCAGATTCTATGATAAACAAATTGGCTACAGTAGATAAAAAGGTAAGTTATGTGCAATGCCTAGCAGAATATAGGTTTATATTAAATGTAAGAACCGTTATTATTCCTTTAATTTTTTATACAGATGACTTTGTCAGTTCTACAATCTAAGTTATTAACATTTTTTAATCCTCACCCAAGGATATGTTTTTAATGCTTTTGTAGAAATGTGCACATAAACCTGCATTCACTTTTCAAAAGTTTTCTAGGTTATCTAGTTTATGGACCCTTGAAAATGTACATCCAAACTTCTGCCCTCTCATTCAAGGCCTAGGTGGCAAAGGGATCTTCATGGTATACAAACTCATACCCTTTATATCTGAGGGGTTAGGACAGAAGTGTTGTTGTTGGTTCTAAGCCAAGCCTTCCTTGGGTTTGTGTCTGAGCACAGTCATTCCTTTGAGTACTAAGAATAAAATGAATTCTTGTTGGGGAAAAGAAGGCTGAGGCTCTATGAGTCTGTGATTTTGAACTAAATCCCCTCATTGCCTGGGAGGAAAGAAGAGGTGTTCTGTGCTTTCTTCCTGTGCTTTCCAGGGGTAAGGGTCTCTCATTCTTTGAGAATGACACAGGGGCTGGGAATCAGGAAAGGTACATTTAAATTGTGTCGCCACAAATGATCTTTGTGGCTTTGTGCAAGTCTTCTCAGGGCTGTCTATAAAATAAGAGGTAAGCGGGTGGTTTCTGGGGGGCCTGCTAGCTCCCCAATTCTGTGATGCTCTCACTGTTGCTCTCTTTCATGTGTGACACTCACCTGAAGGCTCTCCATCGGCCCTTTCAGTGTGTGAAGGTGCATTGTGTACAGAATGAGCACGCTCTCTGTGGGACCAGCATTGGTATGGTCCTGTTTGCTTTCCTGTCTTGCTCCCAGATAACATTCTGGAGTGTTTTCTTTTTCCTTGTGAGGAAGGATAATGTTTTTTCCCTCCTCACCAAATTTTTTACAGTCTCACTGTAGTAGATTAATCCGGAGTGGGAGGCCGGTGACATTTATTCTTAATACTAAAATTATACGCCCGATGATTTTCTTAGTGATAAATCTTTCTGTATTCCCCAGCTAGGCAAGCAGAGGCCAGAGTGAGGTTGTGAGAGTCATCAGAGGAAATGGGTGGAGGGTGAGGGAAGATGGCAGAAAGGATAAACAAAGCACCAAAAGCCCGAGTTGCGAGCCGAGGAAGGCTGGGGACCACTAGGCCAGGTGGGCACTGTTCCTGGAGGCGGGGGCTGGAGTGAGGGTGCGGGAGGACAGATAGTGCAGTCCCGGGAGAAGTCCTGGGGCCCTAGATTGGAGATCCCGGCCATCTGTTACAGGTTTCAGCAGTCCCTGCTGTGGGTGGGCATGATACTTCGAATTATAAAATTGTCGATGAACCAATTCTTCACTCTTGGGTATTTTCATAGTGATCTAGAATAGAACATGGTATGATTGGGGGGGCGGGGAGAATGGGTATTTTTTTCTTTTTTTTTTTTAATATATATTTTATTGATTTTTTTTACAGAGAGGAAGGGAGAGGGATAGAGAGTTAGAAACATCAATGAGAGAGAAACATTGATCAGCTGCCTCCTGCACACACCCCCACTGGGGATGTGCCTGCAACCAACGTACATGCCCTTGACCGGAATCGAACCCGGGACCCTTCAGTCTATCCACCGAGCCAAACCGGCTAGGTCGGGTATTTTTTTCTTAATCACAAATTGAATTTTGTGTATGTACTTTCTTAATTAGTGAACGGATGAGCAGGTTGTATATGTAAACATATTTTTCTAGGAAGTCATGTGAGGTTGGATTGTTGTTGTCTGTTTCCCAGGTAACAGACCCCCAGGGACTCAGGACCCCACAGCTCCCCAGCCATAGAGTTGAGTTTTCACTTAGCCAGTTCATTTCGTTGCTGTGAATGCTGCCTAGTGCAGTGTTGCTCTTTGGCAGGTAGAAGATACAGTTAAAGCTATGATGAAAGAGGCCATAGGTAATCATTTAAACACTTAGCACCATTTTCCAAATTCTCTAATTAGACCATATATGTTATCAAAGCTTTTGGTATATAATATTTACTCTTGTATTTTTGTTTTTCCTTACAGATTAATTGCCTGAGGAATTGCAAAACCTATCAAGCCAGAAAACCTCTATGGTTTTATAACACTTCCCTCAAGTTTTTCCTTAATAAACCAATGCTTGCTGATGTTGTCTTTGAAATACAAGGTATGCTTTGGTTTTTACAAAGTTGATTGTTCATTTTTATTCCCTGTTTTCTTACCTTTCTGTTTCAGCTTTAAATATTTAGGGTATAGGAATGACTTTTCTCTATTGCAGGATTTATATTAACACTGCTTGAATTTCAACAAAATATTCTAGGGTAATGAAGGATTTTATTAAAATAAGAAAAGAAATTTATATTTCTCTTAGGTTTTTTTTCCCCCTTTACCATATGTTTCATTAACTTTTAGGGACCAGCAAGGTGATCTTTAATATGAAATAAAATATTTTTGTTTGTGTATTTCTTTAAGATCCTGGTTTTTTAATCATCTGAAACCAGCCCTCTTAAAATTATATTAGTTCTAGTTTCTCTTATTCAGCTCTGTTTTTTTTTTTTTTTAGCAAAAGGAACAGCCATGGGTTGAGGGTCATGCCTGGCTTACATCAGGCATCTGTAGAAAAGGACTCTGAGAATTATCACCAGAACTGAGAGCTGCTTTTTATCTCTGTAGGAAAGTAATGCTACTTAATTTTAATTACGATGAGCTGTTTTAAAGCCCATTATTGATTATTCACTTGGGTAATTTTGTCACTTTAGTAGATTAAGAGCATAATCTTAAAAATGAATTATCAGATACCTTCAATTATGCAAGGCTAGAAAGAGTTGTTTTTAAATGAAATAAGTAGAACGTCAGGTGGGCTATTACTAAGAGGAAGATATAATTCTGTTTTATGGTAGAAATGTGTGGCAGCCAATAGTCATTTACTTTTTAAAAATGTTCCCCGGAAAGATCCGTTTCACTTTTCAGTTTGGCCACCTACCAAGACTAACAGTGAGTTGGAAACTTTCCCAAGTGCCTCCTGAGAAGCTACCGTTGGCACTGTCTGCAATGTGAGCATGGGACACTGAAAATGGGACAATAAGAGTCACCTTGAAATACATGAAAAATGATTTCGGGGGAAAAAGAAAGCGAACAGGAGACCAGATTTGCTTCTTTACACAAGAGTCATTAACACCTGCTTAATATTTGCACAGGAGGCGTTGACACCAAACATTATGTCAGTGTAACCTACTGAAAAGGTTTTCAAAAGGAATATGAAACTCATGAAAATATGTTATTTTAAAAGAAAACGAATAGGCAGTGACACGGAGAATCCTTTCTCCTCATACTTTCTTGCTTTTCTTCCATGATTCCACCTCTGGACTCTTCCGCAGGCACCTGCTAGGCCACCTGTCCGAGCCTGTGTCCGGAAGGGCTGGCTGTGTGTGTGCCTGTGCTGGTGCCCAGCAGCGGCTGCGGGGCTCCTTCCAGCCTCTCCAGCTCCAAAGCCCAGGCCCCCCAGGGAGTCGGGAGCAGAGAGAGGCAGGGATGGGTGGGCACAGGGTGCGCGGCAGTTTCTCTGAGGTCGTCTGGAGAAAAGGCAAGCCTCCCTTCTGAAGACTGTCGCAGGGAGCGTGCAGGCGTGGAGGGCAGCAGTGCTGTCTCCCAGAGGAGGCCGAGGCCTCGTGCTGGAGCCCTAGCTCCGGCCTTGGCTTTGCATTCCATCCGGTGTGTGTGTCTTTGGACTCAACATGTCTGGCCTTAAGTCTTCTCATTTGCAAAGGGAAGAAGGTAAAACCTATAGATTCTAAAAAGGTCCTTTTTAGTGTGAGCTTGATGAAGTGGTCGTGGCAGGGACTAGAAGATCTGGCTTGGATATTGCTTGGGTACGTATTTACTGTATAATAGGTTTGGCTGTGTTACTTTACATTCCTGATCCTTTGTCTCCTCGCCTATAAAATGGGGATACCAATTTCCACCTGGTAGCGTGGTCACAGGGATTGAGACGGTGTGTATAAAGGTGTAGATAGAGGCCTGCCTGCTGGACCCCTTCCCTCCCCCTGCACTGGCAGCCAACTCTGATGGATTGTTGTGCTGTTTCTTACTGAAGCCAGGGCCTCAGCAAATCCTTCTTTTAAAATGTTCTAAGCCAGTGGTTCGCAACCTTCCTAATGCCGCGACCCTTTAATACAGTTCCTCATGTTGTGGTGACCCCCAATTTCATTGTTACAAATTGAACATAATTAAAGCATAGTGATTAATCACAAAAACAATATGTAATTATATATGTGTTTTCCAATGGTCTTAGGCGACCCCTGTGAAAGGGTCGTTCAACCCCCAAAGGGGTCGCAGCCCACAGGTTGAGAACCACTCTTCTAAGCCATCATCAACAACTGGCTGGAGATGACAGGGGATATAAAACCTGTTTACTATCCCTGCAATAGATAGTAATAAAAATAAATACTACCACCCCCAATGTGTTGTGTGGGTTTGTATCTTTTTCCATGAAATAATTTTTAAAGAAGCCACCCTGGCATTTCTAAAACTAGTCTTGGTAAACATTTAGACATGACATGGAAAGATAAGACATTCCTTTGACATTGGAAGCTGTGTCTCATGAAAAATACTTTTACATTCTGTCCCTGTTTACTTAAGTAGTACATATTCTAAATCTCCCTTGGAGTAGGCAAGTTTACGATTTTCAGAATAAAACAGAAACATCTCTAAAAGTTTTGTTTTTAAAACTTGGCAAGTAATATGAAGAAGTATTACAAATGAGGCATTTTATTTTAGTATATAATAAAAACAAAGACCTTTGATAATCTATGCTAAATTATTAGAAAACTTGGGCTTTTAGATTTTGTTTCACTCTTAAAACTCTTTTCCTTAAAAAAAACTTTCTTAAAACTATAACAGCAGTTAGTTACTACAGGAAAGACACTTTTAGCCTTGACATTTTCAAAGAACATATTTATCTTTTAACTAGAAAATTGATGTCTTTTTTCCTCCCTGAGTAATTCTTCAGCTCTAATCTACTGTTGTTTAGTATATAAACACTGCATTATGTTTGCTCAGCAAGTTTTGTGCAGTATTTACATATTTATATAATTTATATACAATGTTTAGAAATGTGGCTATACTGAGGTACTTATATTAGTTTCACAACAGAACAGTTTATAACATCAAAACAGTAGTTTGAAAAGGTGAGAAAGAGAAGTTGATCTTTCCTTAACTGGAGGTATAATGGTTTTCTAAACTAAATTCCAAGCTTGAAAATGCTTTAAGATATTGAGCCTTTTGTTGCTGATTTTGTACACATTATCAATGGAAATTTTCTGTTAAAATTCCAAGATTACTTATCAAATTCCTTCCCCATCTACTATCCACTTGGTATTTTTGGCCAATCATTTTTTTCTTTTTTTCAAAATCCAACTTTTGTTGTTTAATGTATTACATGTCTCCTTTTTTTACCCCATTAACCTCCCCACCACTACCACCCCTGAGGGCAAGCCCCCACCACCCCAGTGTCTGTGTCCATTGGTCATGCTAATATGCATGCATACAAGTCCTTTGGTTGATCTCTAACCCCACCCCTCCCTTGCCTTCTCCCCAAGGTTGGACAGTCTGCTCAGTGCCACCTTGTCTGTGGATCCATTTTTGTTCATCAGTTTATGTTGTTCATTATATCCCACATATGAGTGAGATCATGTGATGTTTATCTTTCTCTGACTGGCTTATTTCCCTTAGCATAATGCTCTCCAGTTCCATCCATGCTGTTGAAAATGGTAAAAGTTCCTTCTTTTTTATAGCAGCATAGTATTCCATTGTATAGATGTACCTCAGTTTTTTAATCCACTCATCTGCTGATGGGCACTTAGGCGGTTTCCAAATCTTAGCTATTGTAAATTGTGTTGCTATGAACATAGGGGTGCATATATCCTTTCTGATTAGTGTTTCTGGTTTCTTGGGATATAGTCCTAGAAGTGGGATTACTGGGTCAAATGGGAGTTCCATTTTTAGTTTTTTTAGGAAACTTCATACTGTTCTCCACAGTGGCTGCACCAGTCTGCATTCCCACCAGCAGTGCACGAGGGTCCCTTTTTCTCCACATCCTCGCCAGCACTTGTCATTTGTATTTCACAGACCTAGAACAAACTCTCCAAAAATTCATCTGGAATAAAAAAAAGACCCTGAATAGCTGCAGCAATCCTGAGAAAGAAGACCAAAGTTGGAGGGATCACAATACCAGACATCAAGCTATATTACCAAGCCTCGGTTCTCAAAACTGCCTGGTACTGGCACAAGAATAGACATATAGACCAATTGAACAGAATAGAGAACCCAGAAATTGACCCAAGCCATTATGCTCAATTAATATTTGACAAAGGAGGCAAGAGCATACAATGGAGTCAAGACAGTCTCTTCGATAAATGGTGCTGGGTCAGATACATGCAAAAATATGAAACTAGATCACCAATTTATACCATACACAAAAACAAACTCAGAATGGTTAAACGACTTAAATGTAAGGTGGGAAACCATAAAAATCTTAGAAGACTCCATAGGCAGCAAAATATCAGACATATGTTGTAATAATATCTTTACCGATACAGCTCCTAGGGCAATGAAAACTAAAGAGAAAATAAACAAATGGGACTACATCAAAATAAAAAGCTTCTGCACAGCAAAAGAAACCATCAACAAAACAGCAAGAAAGCCCACTGCATGAGAGAACATATTTGCCAATGCTATTTCAGATAAGGGTTTAATCTCCAAAATTTATAGGGAACTCATAACAACTTAACAAAAGGAAGATAAACAATCCAATAAAAAAATGGGCAAAGGACCTAAGTAGACACTTTTCGAAAGAGGACATACAGAAGGCCAAGAGACATATGAAAACATGTTCAAAGTCACTAGTCATCAGAGATGCACATCAAAACAACAATGAGGTACCATCTCACACCTGTCAGATTGGCCAATCTTAAATTCCTCTGCTTAACCCAAATAAAAGGGTATCTAATTTGTGTAAGCCATGCTTCAAATTTTTCTTTTCTGTTTACATAATAACCTATTTAAGATTTTAAAACCTTAAGATTGCAAGTCAAATTGCATTACCTGTTTGAATTCTTTGTTGTTGTTATATACAAATATACCTAGCAGGCACTGAGTATGGAGACTGGTCATTCCATAGATGGATGATAATATTGAGGGCAGGTGGCCTAAAGGCAAAGAGGCAGGGATGAGAAAGGGCCGAGAGGGTAGGATGTCTGCTAGCAGGTGTGTGTGACCTGGTAGGAGTGCTGGCTGTGGCCCCTTCTTCCTGTCCCGTGGGAGGTGTGCCTGGCAAATCACAGTGCCGAGCAGTGAGCTCAGAACTGGCGATGTTGGGACTTGCTTGCAAATCCTGAGGGATTATTGCCTTTGGAGAAAGCTACTGGGCTTAGATGGAACTTTTTCTGAGCCAAAAGATGTTGTGCTTGGATTTGCAGAGAGCAAAAAATCCAGTGACTGCAAATATTTTAGAGAAGAATGTATGCTCCTGAAGAGTATGAGATCTGAGGGATGCTTGGTGAAGACTCTTGGTCATAGCAGGGTGGTTTGGCTCATAGTTACTTTCTGGAAGGTGACAGCCCTGTCACTCATACTGGCTGTGGTGTCTTCCACCTAAAAGCTTGGCTTCTAAGCTGGGCAGCTTTGTCTTTCTCATCTTTGTATCTTCAGTACTTAGCATGGCGATTAGCAGGTGATGGGTGCTGGGTGCTCGATAATGATCTGTTGAACTGGACTAACCTGAGGGCTGGCTGTGGATCCATGGCTCCCCATTGTGCTGGAAGTGGTGTGAGCTGCTTCTCCACCCACAAGCCCAGGGTTATGTGTCCCTCTGGAGCTTTGTGTAGTGGTCCAGGAGCTGGAGAAGCAGCTTTTACTAGAGAGTCAGTCAAGTTTAATGAGCGGCAGTGAGAGGTGTGGGCTGAGGGGCCTTTAAAACTTTAAAGTAGCTCTGTCTCTCCCAGAAGTAGGCATCGTTCATTTAGGAAAGAGGTTCCCTTGGGAGGCAGCATGCTGGGGAGACAGCAGGGAACTAGGCCGTCTCCTTGTAAACTTTCCATAAGATCTGAAATGCTCCCTTTGGCTTCACGGAGATTCCCATGGCATTCTTGTGATGTATGGACTGCTTAGGCCAAGGATGGCTTATTTCCTTTTTCTGATAAGGGAAGTCTGGCCACGACTGTCCTGTGACTTGGCCAAGAAAAAAAATGTCATTGTCTTCTTGGGAGGCACATAGACAAGGGTGGGCAGTGGTATTTCAGGCCAATTGGAGAAGATAAAAAATAGATGTTTCATTATAAACATACTAGAGGCATGGTGCACGAAATTCGTGCACTTCGGGGGGGTTCTCTCAGCCCGATTGCAAGAGGGCACAGGCCAGGCCAAGGGACCCCATTGGTGCACAATCAGGGCCGGGGAGGGACCCCGGAGGTTGGCTAGCTGGGGAGGGACCGTGGGATGGCTCCAGGTTGTGTCTGTCACTCTTGCCCAGTCCCAATTGGTCGGATCCCAGCAGCAAGCTAACTTACCGGTGGGAATGTCTGCCCCCAGGTGGTCAGTGCATGTCATAGCAAGCAGTTGAGTGGCCTTATCATATCATTAACATTATGCTTTGATTGGTTGAATGGCTGACTAGATGACCAGACACTTAGCATATTAGGCTTTTATTATATAGGATAGGATGAAGCAAAATATTTCATTTCAGTGTTTCTATCTTCATGAAGTATAAACTAAGTAACAAATAATTGCCTGACTTGCAAATTGTTGGTCCAAAGGCAACTTTTGAATGCTCTATGTTTCAATGAAAAATTAAGTCTCTGAATTAATACTGGCTACCACCCCCAAATTTGGTTTCCATATATTAGCTTAGCTGTACCTAATGCAATACCAGTCTAATCACAAGGAAAGTTGCTAGAATAACAACTCTGCAAGCTTATCTTACTTAATGCTGTTTCCCTTTTGAACCGTGCAGGTACGACAGTGCCAGCCCACAGGGCCATCCTGGTGGCTCGGTGTGAGGTGATGGCAGCCATGTTCAATGGCAATTATATGGAAGCAAAGAGTGTTCTGATTCCAGTCTACGGCGTTTCCAAAGAGACGTTCTTGTCATTCTTAGAGTACCTATACACGGACTCCTGTTGCCCAGGTGAGCAGTATAAATATTAGGTAATATCTGACAATTCTCTCTTTTAGAAATGTCAGCCATTTAAATAAATTGCTTTCTGTGAAATCTGTTTTCACTTAAGGCTTATCAGAGGTGACGTCATGGAAAGTGCTAAGCAGGTGGGTAGTGTTGGGACAACAATGACTTTTCAGTCAGTTCAAGTGGAAGAGCAGTGATTGGGTACCTCTATGGGCTCTGAGTCTGACATAAGTTCAGGTGTCCCCGCCAGCACCAACAGCGTGGTGGCCACCGTGGGCAGCCTAGACATGGAGGTGTCTTGATTTTTAGATTTGGAAGATATCCTATGTTTGTTATTGTTTATGTTATATTGATACTGGCACATATGTATATTAAATAAAAACTTGGCCAGATTTGAAATAATAAGAAAATTTGGTTTCTCAATCATCCCCTCACTAGAGTAATTGATGCTTTGATTTTTAGGTTTTATCCTGTTAATTAGAACAAATGCTCAGAGAAGCACTAATAACTATAGGACAAAGCACTTTACAAGTTGGTAAAAGGTGTAGGGGGACATGAGTCAGAATGAATAATCTAAAGTTAAGGTAGACACTGGACTATTTACATGGGGACAATCACAGAAAGAAAGGTAATCTATTCATTATGTTAAATATCATGCACAGCGTTCTTGGTTCCTAATTATAAAAGAATGTAGGCATTTAAGGAGGGATAAGATAATTACATCAAAAATTAAACTTATAAGGAAGTATTAAAACAACAACCAGGGTAATGGCCAGGGTTGGGGGAGGAGGCTGTGGGGAGTTATTGTTTGTGGACACAGAGTTTCAGTTTGGAATGATGTCAGAGTTCTGGAGATGGATAGTGGTGGTGGTTGCACAGCAGTGTGAATGGACTTAATACCAATGAACTGCACACTTAAAAATGGCTGAAGGTGGGGGGGGGGATTGGAGGAAGGTGGTCAATCAGTAAGTTCTAGAAATGTACAACATGACTGTAGCTAACACTGCTGCATGATATATAGGCAAATTGTTAATATTGTAGATCCCAAGTTTTCTCATCACAAGAACATTTTTTCTTTTATTTTTTATTGTATCTATAATGAGATGATGGATATTATGTAAACCTAATGTGGTAATCATTTCCCAGTATATGTGAATCAAACCATCGTGCTGTACCCCTTAAGCAGTGATGTATGTCAATTATTTCTCTGTAAAACTGGAAGAATGCTTAATGGTAAATTTTATGTTTATCTTACCACAATTAAAACAAAACAAACAAACCTGGAACTACAGCCAGAAGAAGAAAAATTGCAAGGATTTAGGTTAGGGAGCAGAAAGACTTCTCCCGTAGCTCTGGACTTGATTATTAAGGGCAATTATAGAATCTCCGTGTCTGGATAATTAAAAAACAAAAACGACACATAGATTGTCTTCTGAGTATGAAGGCTTACATTAATTCTTTTTTTAAATGGAGTTCAGAATGCTGACTTCTTCAAGGTTTTCTCTGGGCACTCTATTCTGCATTGAATGATAGAGTCAGCATTTTCTGTTTGTTTGGGTCCATAAAATAAATGGTTTTATTGTCCATTTTCTTTTCTTTCCCTCCTTGCATCAGCTGGCATTTTCCAGGCCATGTGTCTCCTCATCTGTGCTGAGATGTACCAGGTGTCCAGACTGCAGCACATCTGTGAGCTGTTCATCATTACCCAGCTGCAGAGCATGCCCAGCAGGGAGCTGGCATCCATGAACCTCGATATAGTTGACCTGCTCAAGAAAGCCAAGGTAATTGGCCCTATGTATCTGCTTATTTGAATTTGTAAAAATCTTCTTAAGAGATATGTTAGTACCTGTCCTAGTTTGAAAGTTTGGCTAAATGAGGCTAAAGTGCCCTCACAACAGTTTCTGTGGGCAGGTAATTTTGGAGATAGGTTTTCTGAGCAATCCCTTTCTAAGGAGGTAGAATTTGCTGATGGGGAACTTTTCAATTAAATGGTGGCCACTATTAGAACCATTGAGTGTGGTGCAATATTGAGTCATATAGGCATTATAGGAAATAGAATTTACATTGAATTTCCCCCAAATGATCACATCTAATGATCATATCTTAGGGTTTCTGAAAGGAAAATGACAGGATTGGTCCCTGCAAACTGATAGGATGATTAGGCTGAACTCATTTATCTGCTCATCCATTCATTCACTTTATGAACCTGTTTTGAAGTTTCAGTTGTTTGTAGGAAGTTTAGGTGCACTTCATTAATCCTTTCAAACCTCCTTTTGTTGATATGTCTCATGGTATCGGGAATATATTTAGTAAAAATGTTTGAATTGAGAACCACTCCGGTACACCTACTCTCGCCTCAGAATTTTTTGCCTCTTCTAAGCTCAGGACCCTTTTGTTTTTAATAATTGTATTGCTGCACATTCTAGGGAACAGGTAGATTTTACACAGTCAACTTACTGTGACTAATTGTAGTTACACAGACCCTAGAAAATGAACCTGACAAAGGAGCAGGCTAGGTCTATAAATAAACTAGGTCTGCTTTCTGGAACTCTGCTTCTGGAACTCTCACCTGTTGTCCCAGTCAGACATTTACCATCTCCTTATTCCCACTCTTTTAATATGTTGTAAGGGAGAGAGAGAGAGAGAGAGAGAGAGAGAGAGAGAGAGAGAGAGAGAGAAACATCAATGATGAGAGAGAATTGTCAATCGGCTGCCTCCTGCACGTCCCCTACTGGGGATGGAGCCCGAAACCTGGGCATGTACCCCGACTGGGAATTGAACCATGACCTCGGTGCACAGGTTGACGCTCAACTACTGAGCCACGCTGGCCGGGCTCCCACTCTCTCTCTTTTATCTCTGGGAGCAAGAAGTTTATGCAGTTGGGTCGTCCAGCCCTTGACTATTCTACCATTTCACCCCCTCCCTGGGACAGTTTCAGGGCCCGCAGCAGTCATGCACACAGTGATGATTATTGACCTTGCAGTAAACTGAAACTTCTAGGTCTTTTTCACAGGAATATGTTCAATCCATCATTAGACTATCAAAACTTTGTGAAATATTATCTGGCATACAACGTATTGGCTATTCCTATCAACTTTGACATCCAGAATTAGAAAAATATGATGAATTTGTCTTCATCCAAGTAGCTGAAATAGAGCCACATAATGCGGAAAAGGACAGACTCTGAGACAGCTAAACGTGTGCTGAGGTGAATTCATTAATCAACATGTATTTCTAGGCATACAATGGAATTCATTCAAAGCATCCAGGTCTTCCTTACTCTCTAACTATTTTGGAGTTTTTTTTTTCCATAATCAAGTCATAAGATCATACGTAGTTAATATTAGAGATAAACACAAATATGAAAATATTGAGTAACCCTGATCGCTCTTCTTTGTAATATATTTACAGTGAGCTTGGGATAAATAGCTACCCTCTAGATTTAATTTTAAAATGCACTTTTATTCTGTCTAGTATTTTCACAATCTCAGTTCATTTTTGATGTATCATTTTCAGACTATTCTAACGAGTCTGTCATACTTTAAAAAACTGGATACGAGCTCCTCTTTCCTCATCTTGTAGTATCCTTTCTTGTTATTAATTTGAGAGAGAGTGAGAGCGAGAGAGAGAAAGAGAGAGAGAGAAACATCAGTTTGTTGTTCAATTTGTTCAACTTATTTATGCATTCGTTGGTTGATTCTTGTATGTGCACTGACCAGGGATTGAATCTGCAACCTTGGCATATTGGGATGACGCTCTAACCACCTGAGCTACCTGGCGTGGGCCTCTTGCAATATCCTTTAAGTAGATAGTTTATACATAAGAGAATTTCCAGTATGATTGCATTGATTTCCTTTAAGTGCCCCCTCCCCCACAAGTACACATACACAAACACACATACACACACTTCACCAGCATCATTTGTGATTGCATTGTCATAAATTCTTCCTGCCCTATTTCCCTCAACTGTGTGGTTTCTGATTATGTGATTATACTTATTTTTCTCTTGAATTTAAAAATTCTGAAATAATTCCTTTTAAATTTTACTGTTTGTTTCTGATGATTTTTCTATTTGCTAAGATTAAGCCTACGTTTATCAGTTTTCCTCTATTCTATTCCTGATGGTCCCTAGTTTGGAATTACGGGTCCCAGATAACAGGATAATTTTCTCCCTAAGTTCTCTTTGAAGTTTCTAGTTTGAGGTTCTCCTTCACTAGCCAGTCAGAATTTAGTTAACCTTTTCCTCATCCTACAGTCAGAATTTAGTTAACCTTTTCCTCATTGTTTCTCTGACTTCTAAAAGGTGAAATTGTTTTAGCAGATTTAGACTTCCAGTAGCTCTCTTAGTAATTGAAATTTCTAATCCTTTCATCATCTCTGCCAGCTGTGTACTGTGTGTTAGGAAAGCATCATTCATACCTTCAATATAGATTAGCAGTTTTGGTATTTTTTCATTTCCGCTTCCACTTGTCCCTAAACTCTCTAAATTCTTTACCTTGTTTCCACTTTTTAGGTCCATACATTTCCATCAAGTTGAACTTTCACATATAACACAGGCTTCTTTCCCTTTATTGACCAGTTCCTTTGGATTGAGGTAGAGATTTCCTTATCTCTACTCCACTTTTAACCCTTTCTAGCCAAACTTTGTGATTCCTGTGAAGTCCTATTTACTGTCATATTAAAGTTTTAAACTCAACTTCTTTATAATCTGTGCATTAATATTTGGCTGCTTCGGGCCACCAGTTTTGTTTCTGACCTTTTCCTGGTGAGTTTCTAGGTATTTTTCTGCACCATTATTATTCTTTACAGAGTTGTTAAATGCTATAGCATTTGGTTTACAGGGTTTTTTTTTAATGCCTATTCTTTTTTATTCTTTTGTTTATTTAAGTTTAAACCTATTTTCTCAGTTCAGCATACATTTTTGCCCACAAGTAGTTTATAGGGTTCCATCTCTTGCCAAGAGCCCACAATTATGATATCTTAAATTTCGGTCAAAAATAAAATTCTGCATTTGAACTGTTTTTGTAGGCAGCTATTTATTTCTGTGATCTCCCTTCTCTTTCAGAGTCACAGCCATCAGCAGTGTTCTGAACTCTGTTGGTAGGTTAGTTGCTCTGGTTAATCATCTAATAGTGTTGGTGGCTTCTGTTAAAATAGCTACATGTTCTTGCTCTGTTTCCTTCAGATCATTCACATTCATCTGCTAAAATGCAAGGTGAAAAAAAGATGGTTAAAATCTGATGTGGGATTAGATAAACTATAAAGTTTCATACAACTCAAAAATTATGTTGTTTAGTAAGAATCAGAGAGACTTAAGAATTGAAATGTTAAAAAATATTCCCACATTATAACTTTTTAAAAGAGCAGTACTTGAGTTTTTTCCTTAAGATTTGAGATTACAAATCTTTCTTCAATTTAGTATTACTTATTTTTTACATATTTTTGATTGTCCTTAACAGAGCTATATATAGCCTAAAAGTGGAAACAACCTAAATGTCCATCAACAAATGAAAGAATAAATGAAGTGTGGTATGTACATACAATAGAGTATTACTCATCCTTAAAAAGAATGAAATTTTAATATATGCTGCAACATAGATGAACCTTGAGGACATCATGCTAAGTAAAATAAACCAGACAGAAAAAGGACAAATCTGTGTAATTTAACTTAATATGAGGTTCCTGGAATAGTCAAATTCATAAAGGTAAAATAAAATAGTGCTTACCAGGGACTGGGGCTAAGGGAAAAGGGGATTTATTATTTAATGGGCAAAAAGTTTCAGTTTATGATAATAAAAAGTTCTGAAAATAGATAGTGGTGATGGTTGCACTTAAAAATGGTAAATTTTATGTATAATTTACCGTAATAATAATAAAAAGAACTATACTCATATATCCAAGTTTCCTGCCACCAAGTTACCACACTCTGAAGTGAGTGGTTAGATACATCAGTGAGTGTCACTGGATTGGCACCAAGGTGATGATGTCATGGCCAAGTTGCTCAGAGTTCCCCCTCCATTAGCTATTGAAACAGAATGAGAAGTATGCTGGGAATCCTGCTCAGTGTAACAGTACATCTGAGTTAAAAGCAACTATTCAAACATAACCTCCTCATAGAAATACTTATACATTGCTACCATAACCTTTGGTTGATGACACTTCCTCCTCTAAATAATTTTTAGTTTGCTCCTCAGATGAATTTCTTTAGATATGGCCAAGTGTATACCTTTGCTGGCTATAATCTTGCACAGATACAAGTGCAGTTAGTGAAGGCCATGGCCTTAGATTGAAAGCTTAAACTAAATCTTCAAGAACCTCAGATAGCCTTTGTGAACCACGGATGCAACCATACATCTGCTTAAAGATATTCAGCCACTGCAGCAGCAGTAACTTGTTATTTATTTGATTTGGTTTTTTCATTGATGTGATTTTATTATTATTTGTTATTAATGCTCCCTTTTCCTTTCTGCTGTCAGAGTAAACTGAAGGCTGCATCATATACAGACACATTAAACATGGATTGGGTTCTCCAGACCATTCTCTCTTATCTGATCATCGTATTGAAGGTCATTATTTACAATACTGTTTCACTTTCCATTTCTCTTGCAGTTTCACCACTCTGATTGCCTTTCAACCTGGCTACTTCATTTCATTGCCACTAACTACCTCATCTTCAGTCAAAAGCCTGAATTTCAGGATCTTTCAGGTAGATTGCAATTATTGTGTTGAAAGAAAACTTTATGCTCTTTGTTCTTAGTTATGAAACGTAATTTATAGGAGTAGTAGTTTTTAAAAATTAAAAAATCAATGTGATACATGCCTTTTAAATACGCAGTGTGGTCATTGAGGACACTTTACGTAAGTAGCTTGACCTGTGTTACACAAGAAGTTTTCTAATGATCGTTTTATAGCTCCCATCATTCCTAAATGCATTTTTTCCCTGAAGTGCGGTGATAAAGTGGCCTCTGTTAGCATTTGGTTTTGATAAACAAGGTCTTGGTTTTAACCACCCAAGTCAGAAGCAAAATTTAAACAGTATTGACTGAAAAACGTTTTTTAATATAAGAATTGTATCTATTGTATATTGTTTATAATATATAGTTCTATTGTACTAATACCCATATCTATTAAGTTTATCTCTATAGGAGTTCACTGTGTTACCTGGGAGTAGTAATTTTTAATTGATCAAAGAGTGTTGCGAAACTTAATGTGCAGAGAAAGTATGTGTAGTGTGATTTTTAAGATAAATTATAAAGATTAAAACCAATCAAAGGTTGAGCTTCTCGGCGTTACATAAGAGGAAAGAAAATGAAAATAGACTAGTCATCAGATTAGATGATTACTTAGATACAGTGGTTTGCTCACGTTATTACCTAGAATAGACTCAAGGAATAATCAGATTAAAAGGGAAAGGAAATTAAAGATCACCTAATCAAGTAGTCTCAAACTCTAAACAGAGAACTCTCCTTGGAGATGCTTGAAGATCTTCTGAGGTGGGGTGGAGAGTGGGGAGTGAGAGAGGAAAGAGGAGGGAGCCAAGAGAAGTAGAGGGAAGACAAGGCTACATTTGTGCTTCTTGGATATTTTCCTCCCACCTTCAACCAGAGTAATTCCACTTTTATCTGCTTTATACCTTAGCCTTCTACATAAAAGTTTACCTGTATAAGAGAATCTGCTGCTAAAACAAAGTGAAAGTGCCTGGTTTCATTCAACTACTTGTACAGTTAAGTAAACCGAGAAATAGTCAGTTTTAGGCAGACGCCTTGACAGACATTCATAGCCAGACAACAAACATTGAATGGCTAGTGGAAGCCTCTTTATGTAGAATTCAACTCTTAGTGCTGTAGAGTAACAAAATGAATCAAAGCAGCACAACATAAACCATCTACTTTGTGCAAGAAAGAAACAAAAAGTACATTCTGCTTGCTGTTCGTGTAGACATTCTTATACAGTTATTTCAGAAGTCAATTAAAGTGAAATGAATGAACATTTTGATTTTAGAACTACCTTCATTATGCTACCTTAGGTCACCTTCACTTGTAAACAAAAATAAGGTTTATTTTCCACTTACTATATTGTATAAATGCATGAGACACATGGAGAATGCTATTACAGCCTAGGAGAAAAATGCTCTGTAAATCCTTTGAGTTATTAATTTTTATTTTATTTTATTACTTATACAATTACCTATAAAGGATATATGACCTCCTGGCATAGTGAAAAGCAGGGCCCGAGGGTGTAGTTTGAAAAGGCGGGGTAGGAAGGTGAGGCTGTGTCAGTGATTTTCTGTGTCCTTTGATGGGAAGGAAAGGGTGTCACGAGTGCTCTGGATCCGTGATGCCTGCGTATGTCCAGGGCCTGCCGTGACCCTCCTGTTGGGCAGGAAACCCCCTGTGGATAAGGGAGAATTTGATGGTCTAAATAGATGGTCACAAACTGGTAGTCTGTTTGGACCACATGGTTTCTTGTTTGTTTATTTTAAATTGAGTGTCAACATTTAAAAATTGTAACATGTTACATTAAAAGAACTACATTTTTGGCTTCTTTTGGAAAGTTGAAGATCTGGCTACTCTGGCCCATCTTCCCACACAACAACTACCTGGAACTGAGCAGTAGCTGCCGATTTAAAAGCCGTGTCTTCCCGAGTGTCACAGTCACCTCTCCTCCTTATTGCCTTACACCTGGCCCACTTCACAGGGTCACTTTAAGTTCAGAAGGGTTCTTGTCACAATCACTTCAGAGCTTTCTTAAAGAATTGCCTATTTTAGTTTCAAAAATTATCAAATTATTACTGGAATTCTGCAAATTGTTTTTTAACTTGAGAATTTTTCTTATTTAGGGGTGTTTAGAAATTGAAAGGTGAGACTGGAAAAGATTGCTTGTCAATTCTAGCACTAATGCATCAGAACTCAGTGAAATAGCTCATTAAATATTAGACATTTTATAGACTGGACTCATGAAAGCAAACAGCAGTGCATAGGAATATGTTACCGTTGGCATTTATGGAGCCATTATTCTCACAGCTAGTTTAATTTAGCTGAATATTGTATTATGTATTTTACTAGAGGCCCAATGCAAGAGTAGGCCTTTGCAGCCGCAGCTGCCTTGATCCTCCCTTGCAGCCGCTCCCTTGCAGCCCCGGGCAGCTGCCTAGATCCCTCCCTTGCAGCTGCAGCAGCTTCTACCACCGCCACTGCACTCACCAGCCCTGAGCACATCTCAGGGCTTCTGGCTGAGTGGTGCTCTTCTGTGGGAGCGCACTGACCACCAGGGGGCAGCTCCTGCATTGAGCGTCTGCCCCCTAGTGGTCAGTGCGCATCATAGTGACCGGTCGTTCCACCGTTTGGTCGATTTGCATATTAGCCTTTTATTATCTACACTAATAAAAGAGAAACATGCAAATCGGTGTCACTCCACTATGCCCACCAGCCAATCGGATGAGTATGCAAATTAACCCAACAAAGATGGTGGTTCATTTGCATATGCAGGGGAGGAGCGAAGACTGAAGGCTGAAGAGGCTTGGCTTCTCCGCTGCGGCCAGAATGAAGGCCTGGGTCCCGGGTGCCAGAGGAAAACCGGTGCCGGCAGCGAGGGGAAGGGAAGGCCTATTGCACGAATCTTTTCGTGCAATGGGCCTCTAGTATAGGATAACTGAGGATTAACAGATATTTGAGGCAATGTCCAACCTGAAAGATAGATACCCAAACCAAGACACAATGAATAAAAACAAAAGAGAAGTGGATAGGAAAAACCTACAGTCTTTCTACCTGGGTGTTACTTTCCTGTGAGTCTTTATCCCATGTGTCTCCTTTACTGCTCACACAAAATACTTCACTTTTGACACTCTGATCACTAAATGTGTGGGGTTTTATACCCCACACCAAGCAGTTCTCCACACCACCGGCTATGACCTGGTGATAGTGAGAGTGCCAGATCCCACAGGTTAGGGGCTCAGTCCCACAAGACCACCCCCCACCCCACTTCAGACACCAGTACAAGTCCAGTTTTTCTGAGCAACTGGTGTAGATCAGAGGTTCCAGTGACCCCCTCCATGGCTTCAGTTAACTTGCTAGATTGGCTCACACAAGGCAGGGATGCACTTACTTAAGTTTACCAGTTTATGAAAGGATACAGATGAATAGCTAGATGAAGAGATACATAGGGTGAGGTCTGGGGGGGTCCGGAGTGCAGGAGCTCATGTCCAGTGGAATTGGAGTATGTCCCCCTCCCAGCATGTGGATGTGTTCACCAACCTGGAAGCTCCCTGAACCTCGTACTTTTGGAACTTTCATGGACACTTCATTTATGTAGGCATGATTGGTCATCAACTCCATTTTCAGTCCTTTTCCTTCTTAAGAGAATGGTGGGGGTCAGGAAGGGGGGGCGCTGAAAGTCCAAACTTTTTTTAAAATATATTTTTATTGATTTCAAAGAGGAAGGGAGAGAGAGATAGAAACATCAATGATGAGAGAGAATCATTGATCCCCTACTGGGGATCAGGCCCGCAACCCGGGCATGTGCCCTTGATTGGAATCGAACCCAGGACCTTTCAGTCCGCAGGCCGATGCTCTGTCCACTGAGCCAAATCAGCTAGGGCCAAACTTCTAATCATGTCTTTTCGATGACCAGCCCTCATCAGGAGCCCACCCAGAATTGCCTAATTAGAATAAAAGACGATACTACCACCCAGGAAATTACAAGGGTTTCAGGAGCCTCTGTGTCAAGAACTGGAGACCAATGTATATTTTCTATTATCTCACAAGAAGGAACTTAGAGGAATAAAGAGACACAAGAGCACAAGAAGTAGAAGAAAACAAACAAAAACCTTTAAAATTAATATCCTCAAAGCATAAAAGATAGGCAGCCATAAAAAGCAGGGATAGAAGGTTACAGTTGTAAAGACAGAGAGTAGAATGGTGGTTTCCAGGGGCGGTGCGGGCAGGGATAGGGAGTTGTTGTTTAATGGGCACAGTTTTGGTTTTACAAGATGAAGAGTTCTGGAGCTTGGTTGCACGACAACATGGATGTATTTAACACCACTTATACACCGTGCACTTAAAAATGGTCAAGATGGTTTATTTTCTTTTACGTGTATTTTACCACAATTTTCAAAAAAGCAATACAAGACTAGGAAATCATTTTTGGACATTACAAATATGATAGCAAAAAAAACCCAAGTGAATAAAATAGTCAAAAGTAATGATATCTCCCAGAAAGAAGAACAAAAAGACTGGAAAGAAAGGTTTAAAAAAAAATGGAGGCTCAATCCAGGAAGTGAAATACCTGAATAATAGAAGTTAATACAGATAATAAAAAACAGTGGGGAAGAAATTATCAAGAAATAATACAAGGAGTTATCCCAGTAGTGAAGGCCTTGAGACAGCAGATTGAAAAGATCTGCTAAGTGCTGTCTCCAGCATTCTGAGCCAAGTTTTCAACCTAGAACTCTGTACCAAACCAAATTACAAATTGTGTGTGAGGAGATGAAAGACATTTCATCACAAGCAAGGTCTCAGAAATGCTTCCTATGTGCCTGCCCTTTTTGGAAGCTAAGAAAGGTTCTGCTTCACCAAAACTAGAGAATCAGCCAAGGGAAGGACCTGGCGTCAGGAGTGTATGGACCAGCACGAAAGCGTGAAGCAGGCCTAGGAAGCAATAGGGTTCAAGTTCGGGAGGAAAGGGTCTCCAGGGCAACACCCCCAGCCTGCAGGGATGGATGGGCTACCTGAGAACTCTGGTTTGGTGGGAGATAGAATTGAGGGGACTTAAAGCTTTTGGGAGGTTGTGTTAGTTACAAAGGAAAATGAAACAATTACATGGGGAAAAAAAGTCCATTTTCATCTCCAGGAAAAAACAAGTCATATTTAAAAAAAAAAAAAAAAGAAACATTATCAAATACTACTTGATGAATGGAAAGATGTATCCTGATGACTGATGTAACGAAAATTGTATTTAATGATTTTGAAAGGCTTGAGGGAAGAGGAGGGAGTATATAGAAGAGCTTGGATGTCATCCATTCAACAGGAAGCCAATAATTCATACCTAAACTCGATCCCAAATAAAATATATTCAATTAACATTCTTTTTTCTAAAAATTTTAGTGGAAGAACGCAGTTTTGTTGAAAAGCACAGATGGCCATCGAATCTGTACTTGAAGCAGCTTGCGGAATACAGGAAGTATATTCACTCCCGGAAGTGTCGCTGCTTAGTCATGTAACCTGGCGCTTTTATGTACACACACTTTTAAAATTATCATCATTATGAAGAATGGGATACCTCTGGGTACCAGTAAAAGTCTTGTGACCGAAACATGGGCGTTAAAATATATATATGGGTGTGGGGGGGAAAAAGTCACCATACAGCTTAATGTGTTTACTAGCTTTCCTTGAAAAAACTATGGTTGTGATCTTAAAAGGGAACAAAATATACCACAGGCTAAATCTAAGGCTTCACAAAGTGTATAAAGCTGTTGTGCAGCTACTTATTCCCTTTAAGATGACCTGTTGCTTTGGTGATATTAATACCTTTCCCAGTTAAGAAATGTTAAAATGTTTTAAAAATCATGTAGGATTAATACAGAAATTTCATCATGTCTGATTAATGGCTTTGTTAAAATTAAGGGCATGTAAAGACCCAGTGTGACTATTTCTATAATGAAAAATCTAGGGGCCGACTGATCAATCAGAGACTCTAGGAATCAAATTTTGCCTGACATTTTGAATGTGAAATGACACCTGTTTTCACATCAGTGTTAAAACCATCATGAAAAAAAAAAATCTGTTTTTTGTCTGAACAACCCAACTGAGCCACCTTGTCTCTTCCCTGGGATTCAGATTGGGCAGGAAACCTCAGGCAGGATGGTTGTATGGCCAGGGCACTGTGTGGTCGTATAGGGTCAGAGCTTAGAAGGGCCCCTGCTTGGTTCCATCTTGAAATTCATAACAATGTTTGAGGAAGGGCCCTGCATTTTCACTTTGTGCTGGGCCTCCAAAATTATGTCTGTCTTGTAGTGGGATATGTACTATGTTTTCTTGCTCAAACATCATTGCTCCTGGAAGCAGAAAAGAGGCACTGATATTGAGGGAAGAGAAGGAGGCTTTCTGGAGGGAAGAGGGCATGTGGGGGTTCTGGGAGCTTTGGGGAAATCTGTTCCTCCCAGGGCCTCTGTGCCACCTCGACTAGCGAGTGAGAAATGCGTTGTGTTGTGTTATCTTTAAGACACTCAGAGTTGTGGCTCTGTCCCAGACGAGCCAATACTTTCTTGACCATTCTGTAGGACCAGGGTATTGGTAAAAGTGACTGACCAGCATGACTTTTATATGTATTTATGAAGATGCTCATAGAAAAATGTGCTTTTTAGAGAATTTGCTATCGAAGGCTCAAGATGTTTTTGTTTTAGTGTATTTACTAAAATTAGGATGTCAGTGGCTTGAATTATTTGAATTCTTTTGAGGACCGCAAAGCTATTTGATGAGGAGTAGCGTGAGTTTTGTCCTTCAAGATTACCCAGTAAGTTAAAAGAAAGGATATAAATGAAATACTTGTTCCATGTAGAGAAAATGGTACTTGGATAGAGGACAGAATTCTAGTTTCTCTTGTGTTTCATGTCAACAGAAATAATTACACAAGCAGAGAGAGAGAAAACCAGATTACTGTGTTATTGTTGACATCATTTTCATCTGTAATACAATTCAGTATTGGATATATATATTTTTTAATTTTCAATTACTTTAGAATACATATAGTTTCCCAACTGTTCAAAGGTTTGATTAGACAGTTTGATACTATAGTATTAGAATCACATACAGTTGTTTGTCAGAGAGGAAAAATAAAAATTCTCTAAATATTTCTCTCAAAAAACCTGATTTTAACTGAATTGTGTTGATGAAGATTACTGGAATGCATTTTATGTCTTTTGAATTTTAATCACTTGAGCTAACCAACTATTGGCAAGTCCCAGTGGGCATCCACTAGCATGGTAAAGAATAGACACTGTAGTGGATTTCCAGAAATTCATTCACATTCAAGAACTTTTAAAATGCAGTGACAGCATTTTATTCTTCATAAGCATATTCTTACCCCTATATGAATTAGAGCACTTAAAATTCTAAATCAGTAACTTTTAATCTAGGAAATTGAAACATAAAAGTCCTAAAGCAAAATGTATTCTTGCAAATACTATTTAACATTTAAATGGACTACATATAGGTTTTAGGTTGTTCGACTGGAGCTGAGTGTGGAAGTTTATGCTCTGTTGGTGTTCAGCATGTAGTTTTTATTATAAAAGTTCTTTACCACCTGTGTGAGCGACTCAAATACACAAATGTCATGGCTCTTGAGAGCTGTTCAGAATAGTAATCAAATTAGTTTTTAAATCTAGATTAAAATCTTTGAATTCACTCAATTTAAAATAGCCAGACATTTAAAAATACTCTTAAGCTATCTTGGAAAAATGAGTACTCTTTTGGTTTTGGTTTTAATTGAGAGATTATTTCTAGATGAATGTGTGCTCTGTGATCATCTCTGCTTCAATATATTTATCAATCATTTTAATTAGAGAAGATACTGTATGTTAGAGCTAAGGCCTTCTCTTTCTGGGCCAGGTTTTCACCTTATGTAACCCTTTGTATACTTCTGGCTACTCTGTGTCATATTGTACGAAAGCAGGCTTGTAATATAGAAGTTTCAGCAACATAACCGAAATTCATTTAGTCCAAGCCAGCATGGTGGCTTCATATTGGGCAGTAGCAGAAAACTGAAGATTTGAATAAATTTGACTTTCAAGACAGATAAACTTTTCAACTATTATTTTTAAAACTACACTACACTGATACAGTTAATTATACAAAAAAAGTCCTCAAGAGTATTTTATTTTATTTAAAGCATCTGTTTAATTCAGTCTTTAATAATTTTGCAAAGAAGGATATGTGTGTATTTTAATATAGCCTGATCTGAATTTATATGTTTTTAGCTTTAGTATTTAACATTTTGTAACAAATAAACCTTTTTTAAAAAAATAAGTTTACCTTAGTGTTCTATCGTTATTTTATCTTGGATGTTGAAATGCTGGAATGAATTTGGGAATACTGCCTTGTGTTTATCAAGTATAATTATGTTTCACAGAAAATTTCCATTGTGTGTAAAACTTTTAGACTATTGCTGATATTGTAGATGATTCATATGCATGTGATGAAAGAAATTTGTTATAACTTCTATAGAAAATTATATTTAGCAGCTGTTACCACCATTTCTCCTAACAATATAACTAACTGCCTTTATTTAGAAAAAGTGCTTTGATAATTCTTTAGCATAGAAATGAGCCTTCTGCAGGCTTGAATGTTGGCTCTGCATAATGGACTTAAGGATTTGGAACTTTTACCCTGGCTGGGTAGCTCATAGAGCGTAGTCCTGATATGCCAAGGTTGCAGGTTTTATCCCCATCAGGGCACACACAAGAATCAGCCAATGACAAGTGGAACAACAAATTGATGTTTATATATCTCTTTTTCTTTCTTTCTCTCTCTTTCTCTCCTTTTCTCACTCTAAAATCAATCAATACATAAAAATTTAAAAACATATTTAAAAGTATTTTTAAAATATATTTTTGTTGATTTTAGAGAGGAAGGGAGAAGGAAAGAGAGAGAAACATCAATGCTGAGAAATTATCATTGATTGGCTGCCTCATGAATGCCCCCCACTGGGGATCAAGCCCACAACCCTGACTGGTCAACCACTGAGCCATGCTATCTGGGCTATTTAAAAGTTAAAAAAAAAAGACACACCCGCTGCGGATCATCCTCAAGAAAAAAAAAAAAGTTAAAAAAAAAAATAGAATTTGGAACTTCCCAGAGCTGAGGAGCCGAGACCAGGAAGCCCTAACACGTGGATAGATTATGTACTATATACTACAACCTCTCCCCAGGGGGTTCCCAAATTGTCAGTAAAGGCTACTATATCCATAAAGTCCTCCACAGTTGCTTTGGAATAGTGTTCCTGACACAAATTTGACCTGAGAACACACTCTCCTAGAAGACACCTATTGCCTGTGGAAGAATCTTCACAGTCCTCATTGCCTTTCATAACCTATCCCATCTTTTCTACTTGGACATTCGGGACCGTTATCCAGATTATCTATATACTTGCACACCTCGTACATTTCCTAAGGCTTGCTTTGGGTTCCCATTCCCTGTCTACTTTGCAGACTCCTGCATATCTTGTAAAGCCCAGCTTAAAAATCATATCTCTTTTGCTTTCTATGACTCTCCCAGGAAGAATCAGTTGCTTCTACATATGTCTTTATTAGCTCTCTCTCTCTTTTTTAAAATTGATTTTAGAGAGGAAGGGAGAGGGAGAGAGAGATGAAAGAGAATCATTGATCAGCTGCCTCCTGCACGCTACCTATTGGGGATGGAGCCCGAAACCCGGGCATATGCCCTTGACCGGAACCGAACCCGGGACCCTTCAGTCTGCAGGCTCTATCCACTGAGCCAAACCAGCTAGCACTTTCTTAGCTCTTTTGTGGTACTTATTGCATATTAGGTATTGGTGGTCACTACTGGGCAATATCTTGAGAGCAGGGACCATGTCTTGATTTTCTTTGTGAACCCCTCTCCAACCTTCCACTGAGCACAGGGACTGATTTAGGCTTTGTGTTAAATGGCACTGAAAAGGCCAGATTGCCTCAGCTGGAATAGTCAAAACTTGCAAATGCAAATGAAAAGTATGCTCACACTTGAAGCTCTGTGTGCCCTGTCTCAGGAGTAGCCTGAGTTAATAGTCATGGGGCCTGGGGTGACCAGAGCAGCTGGCTGCCTGGGGAGTTGATGACCATAGAATGGGAAAGTGATTAAGTGTTGGGCCATTGAGGGGGGTGCAGAACATGTACAAAATGGTCCCTGGGGACACCTCTGCCTGGGAGTCTCAATTGGAGATTGGGCAACAAGATGCATTTGGGGGCGCAGAAGAGTTCTTATTGGACACAATGAGGCAGAAATGGCTTCCAGTGTTAAACATCGTGTTTGACTTTATGCAAACAATTCCATAACTGCATGCAAATGATTCCCCTGGCATGCAGCAGGCTATGTCCTCAAAACCTTAATTGTCTGGCCTACTGTTCAGCTAAATGCTCAACAATGAGCTAATGATCAGCATTAGTATGAGAGTGACTGACATTTTCTCTTTTACATGTTCAAAGCAAAGAGCTCTCTTATTTGCTCCCATTTAGGAAAACAGCATGCCAATTTAGTGGACACAGTATATTACTTACTTTTATTTATTTAAATATATATTTTATTGATTTTTTTTACAGAGAGGAAGGGAGAGGGATAGAGAGTTAGAATCATCAATGAGAGCGAAACATCGATCAGCTGCCTCCCGCACGCCCCCCACTGGAGATGTGCCCGCAACCCAGGCACATGCCCTTGACCGGAATCGAACCTGGGACCCTTCAGTCCGCAGGCCGATGCTCTATCCACTGAGCCAAACCGGCTACGGCGATAAATTACTTACTTTTAAAATTAAGTGGAAAGGAGATGGGATCTGAGCCCTTCCTCCTTTGTGGGAAACCTGGCCTGAAAGATCCTTAGGGGAGTACTGTAACTCAAAAACAAACCAAAACCCTTTTCCTAAAGGCAGCGTAGGCTCTCATCTATGACTTAGTGCCTGTCTTGTTTACAATGACAGATTTAGCTACTATCTCAGAATACACTATTTTTTTTTTTTTGCCTGAAAATTGTCTACCTTTTCGTTTTCTGCTTTTTTAAAAAAGATTCAGCTGCCCTTAAGAATTGGAAGCAATCTTGAAGCACAGTCGTAAATAACTTTTAAGCCAAAGGGCCTATAGGACAAAGTTTGGTTAAACCAGTTTTGTGAGCCCTAGGCCTTCTTATCACAGACAGCAGGAAATTACTGACCAGCCACTGCCCCGCACACAGGTCTGCTTCAGGCTTCGGAGCGCTTTTCCTTTGCTCCTCCTGATTGGAGTATCTTGCTTTTCCTTCACTTTTAGTAACTTTCAGGCTGTAGGAAAATAACTACAATTCCCCCAGTACCAGTTTTCATAAAATTTATGTAGGTGGTTTTTATTTTCATAGAAATCTCATGTCTGAGTCTGGCCCCATGGTCAGCTAGGTGACAACACATCGTTGTTCTTGGGTCTTCTGTCCCCTTGGTTGGAGGAGGAGTGGGGGAGGTTTTCTCAATTTACAGAGACTTCCTCCTAAGATCGAATTGCCTTCAAGTGAATTAAAACATGTCAAAACCCCCGAGAGGCCACAAATAGAACCCCTGGTGATGCTAGGAGGGCAGATTCCAATGCTGCAATGCCCAGGGGAGGTTCCAGTGCTTTGCTGGGCCAAATGGAAGTAAAAGTTAGGACATTTCCTTCGCAAGAATTCAAATGTAAAGACCATTTAAATAAGGTAAATCGATACTGTAAAGAATTGCCTAGGCATTTTCCTAAACTATACACCACCACCAACAACAAAACTTTCTATTTTACAACCCTCACTATTTTTAATGAATATGGTAAGAAAGGCTGATCTTATATGGGACTTAGTAGATGTCAGGGGTTCCTGAGTTGCTATAGGGTACCAGTCTGGACATACTGGTTGCTTGTATCTTGTGTATGTGTGTATTCTGGCACCATTTCCAAAACATAATAGTTGCTTAAGAGACGTCTGCTAAACGTAACAGCACACAGTTGACAAGAGTTGCTAGTCTCCAAGATGACAGTGTTGACTGTGATGGCCCATTTCTGCTTAGGGCCCAGGGCGTTTAGCCCTGTGAAGAGGAACGGAGGACACTCACAGCAGAAGGGACTTAAAGGGCAGGGCCTTCAGGGAGGGGCAAGTGTGGGAGGGCAGGAGATCCAGGTGAGACACCCCAGCAGTAACTTCGAGAGACTTAGGGACCCGGGTCATGCAAGCAGAGGTGTGATCAAGTGAAATTTCTGTCGTTACTGTTGGTATGAACTCCATGGGCTGGTGAGGCCCGGGGAAATTGAGGTATTCTTTACTATTTCAACATTATCACTTATTGCACTGTTACTAATGCCAGGCACGATTCATGTATTATTTCCTTTAGAAGAGACAGTAGAGTGCAGGAGAGTAGTCTGGTGGGGTAACTAAATACAAGGGTGATGAAACCACACTGCCCGGTTTGATTCCAATCCCAGCTCCGCCTCTCACGTGTGATCTTGGGCACATGAAGTGGCCTCTCTTTGGACGTTTTTTGCTCATTTGTAAAATGGAGCTACTGGATGTAGCAACCTCATAGTTTCATTGGGAGGAATAAAGGGGGTGATACATATACTCTGTAGGTATTAGTATTAGTATTAATTAGTATTATCATATAGTTCCAGCAGCCCCATGAGCCAGGTTGCTGTCAGTATCTCCATTCTAAAGTGAGCAGTGAGTCAAAGCCCAAGCCCATGTAGTTAGTAAATGGCAGAACTGGAAAGAACCTGAACCTGATTCCAAAACCCAAGTGCTCTACCCACCAGCAAACAGCCCCCATGCGTATGCTAAGAAAAGTGTAAATCCATCCAGCTAAGGCTGGAGTGGCAGCTCCCTTTGAAGGTGCTGCAACACTGCTGGCTCTGTGGGAAGAGCAAACTGGACATGTCCTGGAAGATACACCATTTGAGCTTCCTTGCAAGGATAACTCCAAGGTCAAGGAGTTACCAAGGTCGTCACTCCTTCCCTCCCTCCATCCCCTTCCCTCGACTCCCTTCTCAGGAAACTGTTCCAAGGTCTAATCTGATCACGATTCTCCAAATGATAGGACTGGCTAACATACCACCTTTGTGGTTAATATTTGAAATAAATAACCCAAGGCTGGTGACTGGAAACAAATAGCATATCCTGGTGTGAAATGGTCAGAGAGAAGGGTAGCTTTCTTAATTAATTTTAATTCTCATAGTAAGAACTCAAACCAGAGAGATTTGCATAGCCACAGGCACACATCTAGGAAGTAGCCTAACCGGGGTTTGAATTCAGTCCATGTTGCTTTTAAACCATAG